CTATATAAATCCAATCCATTAATGTACACATTAAAACAGCTCTGTCAGAATCAGCTAATTTCAGTAATAACTCATGTAATCTACCAAGAGAAACACAAATTAATCTGTCAGTGTCCAATTTATTAAAATGAGGTAAAACTAAATTGTTATTTAGATTAACCGACACTATGAACAAGTGAGCCATCGCAAGGCTTTGGAACGTCTCCCTGCCTCAACCATTTGTACAACCAATGAATTAAACATTTAAAACTTGAGTGTGACTTAAGCACAAACAATAGAAAACACCAGCAAACAAGGCCAAGCCAAGCACCCAGAAATGATCAGCTGACAAAAACATCCCCACCAGTCACATTCGTCGGGGTAAACTGTGTCAGTATTGGTTCCTACTGGTCAAAAAGTTTCACTTAAGGAAGAAGAATCTAAGATCCAGTTCAACTATTGCACTGGGCTCTGAGCTCGGTCATGCCCGGGATGACACTGCTCAATAAAAAAGTAGTACTGCATCACTCAACAATAACATAGGCGTTTACTGTTGGTCTGTGGGTTTAATTAAATAGCACAAAACAACAACAGCTGCATGACAAATGTGAAACTACTTTTAAGGTTTACTTTGATTATTTATTTGGATGCAAACTTCTTTGTGTGCCATAGTATTTAATCATTTAATATGTACAGCTAGTTTATAATCAGAAGAGATTCTCTGAACGTTGGGCCACAGACACACGGAAAACAAACATTTCTGATCTTTGGTTCTCTTCTCAGTCCTCAGTGTCTTCTGTCTTTCATCCTTTCCCCCTATGTCTTTGGCCCTCCAGTCAAAAAAGTACGAGTGGAGCCCACGCTGACGCCGGCAAAAGTTTCTGTTTTCCTGTCAGTTCCTGACAGATGAATAGTTATGAGTTTTGCCCCTGCTTCCACTTAAATTTGGCAAATGTACTGTATGTGACCACAACTGCAACGGTCCTGAATGCTTCTCAGCCAGTTTTTCTACTCTCAGTAATCGGATCCTAAATAAAACAAAATAAAATAAAAACAAACACATTTAGGTTAGAATATATTTCACAATTTTCTTTTGTTCTTTGGAGTGATGCCATTAGAACTAAGTGATTTTCTATAATTTCACACACCACTGATCTCTGACAGTTTATTTATTGTTTTGGTCGAAACAAAACTTTTCATATTGCATCAAAAAGTTGACAAAATGACACCAGAACAATCACACTGAAGCAGACCAGCTCAGACCAGCTTAAACAGTCAAAATAACATTGACTGTTTAAAAATGTTATTTTGTTGGGTAGTCTTCATGCATTAAGTACTTGTTGCTTTGCAAAAAGTAAGCCGGGATAGAAGAGGTTACAGCCGATTGGAACTTTAGCGCAGCACAAATAGAAAACACAGTAAAATTGAAATGAGCTATGAGGGTCATATGACACACTGTAGGATCCCGAGGTGAGCTTTATTAATTCTTCTCACAGGCAGCTTAACAGTAATTAAAGTAGAAAAGCAAATAAGACCAAGACAGCGAGCTCCAAATAAGTGCTCCCAGTTAAGATAATAACACCCAAAGCGTCTCATCATATTGCCTGACGTGAGCGTGGGCCAAGATTAAATGAGATCTTTTACAATTTTAATGACGAACACCTGATAAAACGGGTACTTGCACGACACTGCAAATACCCCCCTCTGACGTGACAAACAGACACGTAAGCACTCGGTTTTCATTAGCTCATCACAACGTATTTAGATGTTATTTATTTAGACGAACAAGCCGAGTTGGCGGAGTTCGTCAAATATGTTAAAAAAAAAGGTGGATTCAAAGACCTTATTATTCACCATGCACACACAAGTACATAATTTAGTTTATTCAGTGTCAAGAAGCCACTGACTCACCTGACAGGAATAGAAAACAAGGAGTAATTTCTATTATTTTAATCCACCTTGAAATAATCATTCGCCTCAGTGGGCAGGAAGACCTCCGGCTGCCACTTTTTGACAGCGAAAGAGAAAAAGGTACTGACCCCAGCCTCAGCCCTCCCTCCTCTTACCTGTTTATTCATGAAGACGTAGATGACTGGGTTGATGACCGTGCTCGTTTTGGCAAGGACTGAGGGGATGATGCTCGCCTCCGGTGTGACCAGGCCCGGTGGGCCGAAGGTGGCCAGTAGGGCCATGATGCCATAAGGCAGCCAGCATATTAGGTAGCACATCACCATAATCACCACCATGAATAGCACGCGCTGCTCACGTTTCCTGCTCACCGACGCATTGATCCCGCTCACCTGGAGACAATGGGAGGAAAGACGAGGAAAAGAAACAAGACCTTAATAAGCCGGCGATTTCCTGTGATGAGACATTGTGGTCAGACATTTTTTTCCTTTTGCTGTTGGAAGAGGAGGATTCTGGGGGATAAAATGCTCACTATATAGTCAATACATCTACTTCTGGGTTTCATTTTTGTAACATAAGCCTACATTCCCATCTGTAATAACATTACACTTGATTGACATTTTGGGAAAATTAACTTACCAGTGTCTTTACGTAGAGTTAAATTAGAAGGTCAGTAGTATTCTTAGGCCTCTTTGTTAATATAATTATAGCCAGCAGTCACTGAGATAAGTTTAAACTGAACTTATGGAGCAGAGAGTCTCTTTGCTGGGAGCTGCACAGTTGTCTGCCTAATAATAAACCAAGTGCTTCATTCTTATAAGTGAGCATAAGAAGTTCTGTGAGGCATATTCTGTTTTTCCTTTGGACAGCCTTGGTTTTTATCCTGGGGATAGTCTGAGTTTCTGCAAAAGGTCAATCAGCATATGTCCCAAAAATGTCAAATTGTAATATGTAAACACTACTAAAACTGACAGATAACTTTGAGTTAATTAGTCATTTCTGTGCAAAGATAAATGAAAGTGTCGACTACATTTACGACTACATCTTTATGACCTGATGAAAGTCTTTGATAGAAATCTTGCATATTTCTCAGATTTCAGAAAGTTCATTGGTGAGACATTAACTGTAAATTGTAAAAATAAATAAATGAAATACAAAGAAGAATCAAGTTTGAATAAATTTAAGTTTTTTGTTTGTTAAAATATCAAAGTATCGGGTTGAATCTAGCAAGTATAATGCATCGTCCCGCACGGACATGCACGCGCTTGACAAGCATCTTCGCGCTCCCCAAACCCAAACTGTCGAGATTTGTTTTGCTACCCGATGGCCACATGTCTGCTGCTGTCACTCAGTTTCACGGCGGCGGAGACGCACTCTGGCAGGGAGCCTCTTTTAAGAAAGACTGTGGAAGTGTTGGGATTTTTTTTTGTTTTCTGTTTTTACACACATACACACGCTAGTAAAAAGAAAAAGATGATGTAAACATTCAAAACTTCCTGACCCCAGTGATCAGTCATCATCGCCATTGTGACATCTGATCACACTCTAATATCCTTTAACCCTCACTCCAGATTTGCAGCTATATTATTTTACTATGAATTTCATTGCTGCTGATTCTCAGTGTTTTATTCTTGGTGTACGGCCTGAACATGTTAATGTATGCTGTGAGGGTTCAAACAATATGGCGAAGCATGATTAGCATTACTCAGGCAGGCTGTCAACTCACAGTCTCGTGGACTCCCTGGCCCGCCACTCATATGCCATTTGTATTCATATATACACATCAGTATAGAAGTACAGTATGCTTTCACCAGACAGTTGTGCTTATACATCTAATCAAGCCAAGACAGTGACTGACAGTCTCGTTACCTTTACCCCCACGAGACGGCTGCGAATGTGCAAAGGGGAACTGTGTTCACACAAGCCTGTTTGGACCATCTTCATCGAAAACACAATTTCCCTGAAAGAAAGGCTTTGTAATTCGCGAAACAATGGGTCGATAGTTTTAAGAAGGGAAAACAAGCTTTGCATTTTTATTGCAGCAGACAGACGTCAATGCTGCTGTTCAATATGGCACCAGTCGCTTGCCGATTTGAACAGTTGTGGTCTGCAAGATGATGGAAAACACTGCGTGGCTGATTTTCTTTTACACAAACAGGACGCTATATATTAAAAATAGAGTTGAACATTAGCTTTTAATTTGGG